TTTTATCTGAATTCGCCTGGAGAACATGTGATCTGACACTCACCACCCCCTCCTTGAGGAATTTCCAACTGATAACCAGATGAAACCAGCTAAATAAACATTGTGTCATAATTTTAGGACTCTTGGATTCTCAGACGTTAATCTTGGCCATTCCCCAACATCCCTTGAGAATGTTTACGGATCTCACCGGAGGGAACTGGTTGAATATTCCATCCTTATCAGAACTCTTACAGTGACCTCGAGAGCGTCCATGGACATTGCTCACCGCTCTCCCCCCAGTGCTCAGATTATGTGCTGAGCATGACTAACAGATTATGTGTAACCTCAAAATATTCCACGGTGATATTTTTGCAGTTGTTTCACAATTTGTTCAAATTCATTTCTCATTTCTCAACATATGAGCTTAGTTTAAAACTCTGGCATGAAGCGTTAAAAGGCAACATGGATTCCTTTAAAGAATGCTAAAATTTCAAGTTTTAAATGTGAATTTTAACACGTCTGGGTAATATTGTCACTGGACCTGTAACACTTGAAACCATCTCATCTTTTGAAGACTAAACATTGCTACATGCACCACTGCTGATCTATATTTGGATCTGAATGAGACATCAATTATGAAAATGCTTGTTTTAACAAAGAACTAACCAAGGTGACTAAAAATGTTAAAGATCACAGATTGGCTGGATTATAAAATGTCGTTCAGCAGTTTTCCATATGGCTGCTTTGGTAAAAGTCTTGTTACTGATTCTGTTTTTTTTTTTTTTTTTTTGAAAAATCCAATAAGTACAAAAACAAGCCAAGTCCAACAACTCCACAATGTTTTAACTCCAAAATTTAGTGCATCAAATATCTGATGCAGGGCAGCACGGTGGCGCAACTGGTAGAGCTGCTGCCTCTCAGCGAGCAGGTCCCTGGTTCAAACCCCGGTCCAGGGGCCTTTCTGGGTGGAGTTTGCATGTTCTCTCCGTGCATGCGTGGGTTTTCTCCGGGTGCTCCGGTTTCCTCCCACAGACCAAAAACATGCATGTTAGGCTTATTGGTAACTCTAAATTGTCCCTAGGTGTGAGTGAGAGAGTGAATGGTTGTTTGTCTCGTTTGTCTCTATGTGTCCCTGTGATGGACTTGCGACCCGTCCAGGGTGTACCCCGCCCCTCGCACAGTGATTGCTGGACATGGGCACCAGCGACCCCCGTGACCCAAAATGGAATAATCGGGTAAAGATAATGGATGGATGGATGGATATCTGATGCACTGCTTGGTTATTAAACTGCTGTTCATGCTGCTGATCTCATGCTGCTGATTTAGTTCATGGTACTGTGTTCATTCGTCCTCATCTGCTCACACAGACTCATGTTCGTGCTGCTGTTGTTCGCCGTATTGTTTTTGTACTATTAGTGCTTAGTGTATGCTTAGTTTAACGTTTTTCTTACTTCATATCTTAGATCTTACTACTGTTTTTATGTTGCAGTTTATACTTTTGTTGGATGTAACTGGGACCCTGTGTACACATTTTCGTTCCATCACATGCACTACATATGATGAGAATGACAATAAAGAACCTTGACTTGAAACGCGTTCATTTTGCCAACCTCATGGCTAAAACACACTAAACAAAAGAAGTGCATCAGCTTTTGTAATAGATTTTTAATTTTCATTAACCTTAGAAGTTGTTTGCTAATTGTGTGTGTGTTTTAAACAGCGATACATTTGATTCAACAAGAAATGCTGACTTTGCTTTTAAGCTTAAAATGTTGATATAAAAAAATAAAGATTTTCCAGAATTTGTATCTGATAGAACAGTTTTACACTTACAGAGAAAATGCAGGTGTTTTTGTTGGTTTTCATCTGCTGACTCTGGTGCTGAATGCCTAAAATACTAAAAACTGTCAGACTGTGCCAAATGGCATTAAACAATTTTTTTACATGTAGTTTCCTGGTGGTGCTTTCTGAGTGAGAGGAATTCATTTATAACGAGAACATCCTAATCAGGAAAAGCCTGTAATCATGTTTTTTTTTTTTTTACTTATTCATCTGCTTGTTATAAAACGAAAATGTTCATTACTTGAACATATGGACTCAAGAGAGAACTACAGATAATATAAGTTTATTACCACTGAGAGGAAATAGGGCATCAGTTTGTTGATTTGCACATTTTAATAGGAAACCGATTTAAATAATATACAAACTTTGAAATTGGATACTGAAAAATTTGCATATTTGATCAAAACATGCTAATTTTTTTGATGACAAGTCCCTCATTTGTGGGATTTGCATGGCAGTTTAACTAATGGCACTTGATCTTAGTCCACACTGAAATGAACTGATTACTGTTGAGTTCATTTACAGAACTGGACACTTCCATCTGCACCGTGTTTCACCTGGGAACACATAAATCTGCCACATAAACAATAAAATGACAACACCTTACTGGGCAACCATAAACGTTTCAGGTAATTGCTAATTGCTTGAACAGAATATTTAAACTGGCACATGTTCTGAAATATTAGGCTTAAATAATCTAGTAAAAATTTAAATTTAAGCAATATTCTGACAGGTGTCACACACTAGCACCACCGTTTTTATTTTTATTTTTTATTTTAGTCATTTGGAAATAGACATGTTGACTAAGAACTGAAAAGTAAAAAAAAAAAAAAAAAAATAGTGTTACTACATTTACTAATCAAGAAAAAAAGTATACATAATTTAGATTAGATCTTAGAAATTAACTTGCACGAGATGAATGTTTCCATAATGAAGCACACAATAAGTACAGGCAAAACTACACTCACACACACTCACACACACACACACACACACACAGGCAGAAATGAGTCAAGGCCATAAAGATCCATGCAGGGCTCATTTAGCAGCAGAGAGAACCACCACATCAGTTCATAAAACACACTCATTAAATATACCCAAAGCGACCGCAGCCTGTGTCTGCGTGCGTCTGTGTGTGTGTCCCGGAGGTGTGTTTGATCCGCTCACTGTGATAATGTGAAATCCAGCCTTTGTCTTTGATCACTAACCACTGCTGAAGGCTGGCAAACACCCTGCCATCAATACACCGACAGCGCTCTGCTGCGTGTGAGTTTAATGAGTTCGTAAAGTAAAGCTAAGCTGACTTTAATGGCATAAAAGTCTTTTTGGAGAGCAACTTGATCATAACGGACTTAATTCAGCAACGCGCTGCTGATATGTGGATCACCGAATGAAAAATAAAGTTTTGTGATACTGTATTCAGCTAAAGATGATCTTTAACAAAAGCTTAAGAACGATGTACTTTAATAATGAAATGGGCAACAAATGGAGATGCACAACAGTAAAGTCAAATTTAAATAATTTAAACCTTGCTTTTCTTGAAAGAATGCACGTCACCCTCCACCTTTAATGCCAGAGATTTAACAAAGATCATTTTATGTTGAGAAATGGAGTTAAAGCGGTTTTGACAAAACTTCAAAAATACAGATATGTAAAATATCATGTAATATTGCAGAACCAGTGCATGAATCGCATGCTGTCTTAATGTAGCAATTTATCCATCCCATATTTATCCCACTCAGATTTGTTTTTATCCACCGACTCCTTGCTGCAACAGATTTTTGGTGTCTTAACTTCACTGCTGTGACAAAAAGATTTGGTGACATGTCTTCACGAAGATCAGCAGGATCGTCTTACATGTTTGCTCACATTCTGGTTTGTTCTACGAGTGAAGACATGACAAATTTATTTTCCATATCGACCCTTTCAGACTCGATGAAACGATTAGCAACCATGAGTGCAATTCACACGACAGCCCAACGTTGAGAAGGTGCTCCTGGATATTACCTCCAAGGCTTTTTTAAACCCCGACTATATTTTCACTACGTGAGCACTTTGAAGGAAGTAGTAACGGAGTACTGTATTTTTCAGACTATAAGGCGCACTTAAAATCCTTTAATTCTCTCAAAAATTTAATAAAATTAATAGCCTTGCAATCAGGTGCACCTTATTCATTAATTCTGGTTGTGCTTACCGACCTCAAACCGATTTTATGTGGCTATTGTGAATGAGTTAAATAAAGTTTGACTTATTTGTTTCGCTTAATGCGCCTTATAGTCCAAAAAAAATACAGTAGTTGTGCTCCGTGTGGTATTTTGAATAAAGCATGTTACAGATATTTGAGTATTACTTTTGAAAATTGTGTCGTGCTTATGAAAATAAGCAAACATTCATCTTAGTGTGCAGCAGAAGTGAGACACATTTCAAGGCATTTCAAAACCACGAGCTGGGCAGTACTTGAGTATTTGATTTGTTTGATGCAAAATGTTCTTTGTGAGAAAATATGAGAATTAATGCTGCATATTAAACAATTTTAAGTACTGTGATTAAGTTCTGGGGATGCTCTAATAATTCAGGGTAAAATACATTCCCAGAGTTGACTGGACATCACACCTGTCTTGTCCTTTTTGTTGCGCATCCACAGGGGGGGTTCAAGGACAACGTAGAAAAAGGATTGCTTATTGTACTCCTCCCGGTCTAAGATCTTAACTGTTATGGTCTTCCTGTATGAGACAACACACATACACAAAGACACAAAGGGAGGCGATGAATGCATGCACAAAAACCAAAAACCAAACAAACAAATGGCACGGTGAGTTATAAAGACAAAAATGAAACGTGGACTGGTGGATGTGGTGTGATGAGGTGACCCACAGCTAGCTGCATGTTCACTGTTAGAGCGCTTCTGGAGGAGGGGGGAAGGTTAAAGCCGAATCTCCTCCAGCTGGCCTCCTCGGGTCCAGAACATGCAGCCACTGCAGTGTGGCGGACACTCCAGGTCTTTAACGGGGGGGGGCGGATGGTTGTCTTTATATTGTCTTTATAACT